GGGGGGGGAGTTGTCACATGCCATGTAGCCTCCACTTGGACTTTTTGTATAATACTAAATATAACCACTCTTGTGCCTTAAATCCCTTCTTGTGCATTCGATCTTGTTGCAAATCATATGAAACATTGAAATGTAACAAGAAAAGCTTTACTTGTGCACTATTATGATTCAGTAAGTTGAACTATTTCTATAATGTGGTAAAAGAAAAAAACACTTTAGCTGAAGGAATCAGACATATCCTTTAAAAAATCTTTACCATGAATACGGATTGCCTCCCTTTGTTTCTATTCCAAACAATATATTTATTTTTTTATTACATAGTAACTGCCTACCATTTCTCATATTTCTATTCATCATAAGGTGAACAATCTAAACTAATGAAATTCATGAGTGCTAGTTAATTACAGGCAAATTTCACTCAAATTCACACAGAGTCTTCGCCTTTATATAGTTTAAATTTTCACCAATTTTAATAGGAGCCTGGTTATATTCTTCTGCAGAAACTGCTGATTAATTAAAAAAAAAAATTTGGATGAAATTTCAGCAAGTTATCTTGTGAAAACCAAATTGGACGCAGGCACATAGAAGCTTCCCTGTGATATGTCCGGACATATTATTACAAACATATTGCTGTAGGAAAAACGTGATTAGTAATGGTCACCCTTAGTAAAACAAGTAAGAAACAGAACAAAAAACTGTGGTTTGTAATACAGGGAAAACCACCACAATATATGTACGATCCGTGTACCTACCAGATCAATCAAGTATAAATATATGTATGTACCATCAACATATTAGTTTGAAATCATAAATAAACCAAAGTAATAGAAAAGTAATCTTACGGTTCCTGTAAAAAAAAAAAAAAAAGCAGACATGCCACTATGCTGTGATGAGCTGTGATGAAATATATGATATATGTACATGATGTTTTAAAACCTGTCGTTGTGAATATGAAGTACATGTCTATGACTACTAACGCTGTAGAAAAAAGTTCCAATTGTGCTAAAAATGCATTGTTTCAATTTAAATATTCAAGATATGACTTAAGATTAGAAAACAATATGTGTCAAAGATTATTTACTCTTCTATGTTCTTGCATTGGAACTGAGACATTTTGATTTTAATATCCTTCTTTTCACAATTGACAGATTAGAAATACAGTTCTTATAGTGATTATATAGTTTAGGACACACAACATATCACATCCAGCCCCAATGATGATAAAGCCTGCATTATGGGTGATTATCTCCCCTGATCCATGTGTATGCTTGCCTCATTGCCGTGATAAAAATAAAATATATACACATTTATGTAGACTCACATGCCAGTATGTCCATAAATGGACAATATCCTGCTTGAATCGCTGAAACTTAAATTGTAATTGCCCTCTTACAGAACAGGTGATGTTTATTTGTTGTTGTTGTAGTCCGACTAACTCCTCATGACTTATTATTGTACTCCTTTGTAATGCAATCATAACAAAGGGGACACATTTGGTATCAAAATTGACTAAATTCAAACAACAACAAGATAGTTTGCATTAATTATGTTGTTTAAAACATCTAAGTAAATCTCCCCTGAAAAGTGAGTGGTAGGTGGCACCTTAAGTACAAAATGTATTTCAGAAAAGCTTAGATTGAGTAATTGCAAATCAGATAACATAGAAACTAATTCTCCTAAGTAAAGAGACCATCAATCAATTTGTCTGATGTGTATATTTGTAATATAGGATTTCCTGGATTATCTTTCATGAGAAAAGGAAAAGATTATATTTTAATGCAGACAAGAAGCTTTTAATGTACATTTGTAATTTTTAAAATGAAACTGAACACTATTTTCAAAATGCTGAAATTTTTTTTTTTTTTTTTTTACACAAGATAAAAGGCTGTGTGCACACTTTATCTAGAATATTGAAATTGAACCTGATGACAACCAAAACTTAATGCATTTTTAAGAGTAAATCACCATAGCATTGCCGCTGGGGAATAGGGACAGTGGCTAAACTAACACATTACATTCGCAGAACTAAATCATTATCTCACGTTTTATGTTGTTGTGTATATATTGATACTATTTGAGGCAGTACCAACAGACTTAGCACTGCTGGGCCAGCTACTAAATGTGTTGTATTTATGGATTTTACTGAGAACTTTGTGTATTAGAGCAGAAATTCAATTTTCTGACATTATCAGATTGGTTTCTTTTACTGGAATTTTAAAGTAAAAGGTGAAATACATCAATAGTTTAAGTGTTTCTCTACATGGGAAATGATGGGACATATTTAACAGCTTTTTTATGTTTAACTGTCCCTTAGTATCAACTAGCATTCAGAGCTACACTGAAATCCTCTGAAACCATGGCTATTAGTACACTTATTAGACCTTTCTCTTGAATTGAATAGCACTGAATGATGCATTTAAAGAAATCATCCGAACTTTCTGATGTCTGACATCTATTAAGTCACAGTAACTGATTTTATAGTAAAATTTTAATTAAAATGATCATACAATTTCTACCAAAATCATTATATACACAATGTATCATGCAACACATCTTCAATAACCTCAATGCTGGATTTAATCAGGCTATATAGCTATAGCTCTTAGATATTGTTTCATTGTAGCAACTAAATATAGATATTTTCCTGAAAACAGCACACATTATTAAGTATCTAGAATTCCTACTAAAATCAACACACTAAAGCAAACAGAGACTTTCTACTGGAAACAACACACTTAATTTGATAAAGAATTTCTATTAAAATCTCAAATTCAATTCTTTGTCGTCTTTCTACTGTAAACAGCACAAACACTATAAAGTACTGATTTGTAGTTAAGGGTATATGCTACCTTATTGTGACATGCATCTATCTCTTTCCAAAGAGAGTTCCACACCGTTAATATTTTAAAATTCCATTTATGAATAAACTTGCTTAATTAACTGATGACACATTTTAAAACTACACATTGATAACAATCATATAACCGTGAATTATTAGGTGTAAAGCTAATTTATCAAGGTAGACAACTCTAAGAGAAATCACAAGTATATTGTAAGGTAACTTACAACCTTAAAACATGTGTATGTTGCAATGATGGGCTCATGTCCTTTTATTGTGCAAAGAAACGCAGATGAAAATACCAAAGTAATGTAATTATTGGGACATACCTGGACAGCCTCAGCAGCGACCTTCCGCTCCTCCTGAGAGATGGGAATGTCGACAGGGGCTTTAGGTGTGGAAGGAGACTGAATGTTGATCTGTGAAGGTGAGTTGTGTTCTGACTGGTCCTGTGGCTCTACAGATTCACGTAGACTGCTGGGAGGCATAGGATTTGGCCCTATGACACAATTAGGGTAACTGTTAAAAAAACTTACCTAACACATTTCATGGTTATCCTCATATAGTTCAAGTGTACATTCATTGAATAAAAGATCAGTCAACATTTAATCATGGACCAGAAAAATAATTTTCTGGACATGATTAAGGTTCAATTGTCAAGTTTTCCCTTAAAATTCATTTGCTTACCCATAGATACAAGGAAAGGGAGAGGAGTGTCCTTTTTCTAACTACAGTGTAACAAGAAAATAGGGCGGATAACACTGTATTATTTGCTTTAAGTGAATAAAAATGACTGAATACACTAGCGATGCCTATCAATTTACCTAAGGCTAGCCTTCGGGGGAACAAAGACAGATGTGCTATTAACACCCCAATCTAAGGCTGGCCTCCAGTAAATAAGAAAGAATGTGCTATTAATACCTATACCAAGGTCGAAGGCTGGCCTTCCTTTAGGTAACAGACTAAGGCTGAATGTACCAATACCTATAACTTTGATTAGTCACTGTGAATCCCAGTACGGCTGTATGTAACACCTACCGAGTGTGAAGTCCACATCTCTGTAGTTCCTCTTGTTATAGGTGAAGGTACGTGTCTTACGGAGACCAAACGGCAGCTCAGGCAGGCCTAGTGAAATGGACGGGATCGTGGACGGAGTGTCTGTCAAACAAAGGAATAGTTTAGGAAGATGCTACAAAATAAAATTGATTAGAACTATTCTGTTGACTGTTATATTATGCTGGGACTTTGGTCAATTAATGAGGATGTCGACTCATGAAAAATATTTTTGTATAATTCAACTTAGGCAATTATTGATGCATGTTTAGATGTACCTGTATAAGATTAGATCATTTATAAGATTGGTTCTAGTAACAAATACAAGCTAGGGGACCAAAGAATTTAATCTTTATACATCTGTAGTAAAAACAAATTTAGGGGAGTAAGATCTCTACAAGGAAACAAAAAAACGGGACCAGAGAAATCGGAACACTACAGTAAAACATTTTTATAACAAAGGTTAATTGGGAACCAAAGAAATTACAGAATTTGATTTTAATGACGCAATTCCTCGACAAAAAAATTGGAAACCGGTATGTATTATAATTATTATAATTTGTTTGTAACAAGGTGATAGTTACCTCCTATGGCAGGTAAAGGTTTTCTGAATCTTGGGAAATCTTTCATTCCCCCAAAATAGAAATCACGGAAGGATCCATAGTCGCTGTCAAAGCGTTTATCGACAGTGCGCTGTGTATCTGTTACACGTCCCGTCACTTGACCCTCTTCCTCCTCCTCTTCCTCTTCCTGTATGTTTTCCTCATCATCATCAAGGTAGAACACAGGCTTGGTCTCCATAAGGTGGGCTTGGCGAAGATGTCGGGCCTTGGAGATGTGTAGGTTCATCTTTTTCTGCTGTAACAGGTCGGAGCTGGCCGTCGACATGTTGGTGGTCAATCGGTCATAAGGGGGCAAGAAACGCTCGATTACCTCATGGATACGGTCTCGTGACATGAAGTCACTGGAAGGTAAAAAATAATGATTTAAAATATTCAGGAGCCTTTTATCACTACATGAATCGTCTTATTTTGAAGGACTTAATAAGAAGCCATGATAATTTATTTTTCAAATTTGAATTGATTTGACTTCAAATTAAGATACATTGAGTGCTGATTATCACCAATTTTTCTATTTTTTTATTTATTTCATTATTGATTTTTGTTATCGTTATCTGTTTTCTTGATAACGTCACCATTTCCACAGTTTCCAATTTCGATCAATATAATCAATTTACGCTATCAACGCTTGAAAAGATACAATGATTACAAAATTGGTTACTTGATTTTGCAACAAAGTACAAAACTGATATTCAAGGGAAATGCATCAGGAAGTCATCAATGAAATGAGTTGTCATTTTGCTTTTATCAGTGAAATCAGGGCACAACGTATAAAATGTCAATCTAATATATTGGTTCCATTAGTAGCAATTGTTCACAGATACCACAGGATCATAACAGGTAGCACAGTATCATAACAGGTACAGCAGTATCATAACAGGTACCGCAGTATCATAACAGGTACCGCAGTATCATAACAGGTAGCACAGTATCATAACAGGTAGCACAGTATCATAACAGGTACCATCGTATCATCACAGGTACCGCAGTATCATAACAGGTACCGCAATATCATAACAGGTACCGCAGTATCATAACAGGTACCGCAGTAACATAACAGGTAGCAGTGCACAGTATCATAACAGGTAGCACAGTATCATAACAGGTACGGCAGTATCATAACAGGTACCGCAGTATCATAACAGGTAGCGCAGTATCATAACAGGTACAGCAGTATCATAACAGGTACCGCAGTATCATAACAGAGCTGAACAGCACCAATACCATCGTATCATCACAGGTACCGCAGTATCATAACAGGTACCGGAATATCATAACAGGTATCGCAGTATCATAACAGGTACCGCAGTATCATAACAGAGCTGAACAGCACCAATACCATCGTATCATCACAGGTACCGCAGTTTCATAACAGGTACCGGAATATCATAACAGGTACCTCAGTATCATAACAGGTACCGCAGTATCATAACAGGTAGCACAGTATCATAACAGGTAGCACAGTAAACAGGTACCGCAGTATCATAACAGGTACAGCTGTATCATAACAGGTAGCACAGTATCATAACAGGTACCGCAGTATCATAACAGGTACCGCAGTATAATAACAGAGCTGAACAGCACCAATACCATCGTATCATCACAGGTCACGCAGTATCATAACAGGTACCGAAATATCATAACAGGTAGCGCAGTATCATAACAGGTAGCGCAGTATCATAACAGGTAGCACAGTATCATAACAGGTAGCACAGTAAACAGGTAGCACAGTATCATAACAGGTACTGCAGTATCATAACAGGTAGCAGTGAACAGTATCATAACAGGTAGCAGTGAACAGTATCATAACAGGTAGCACAGTATCATAACAGGTAGCCCAGTATCATAACAGGTAGCACAGTATCATAAAAGGTAGCACAGTATCATAACATGTAGCGCAGTATCATAGCAGGTACCGCAGTATCATAACAGGGACCGCAGTATCATAACAGGTAGCAGTGAACAGTATCATAACAGGTAGCACAGTATCATAACAGGTAGCACAGTATCATAACAGGTTGCACAGTATCATAACAGGTAGCACAGTATCATAACAGGTACCGCAGTATCATAACAGGTACCGCAGTATCATAACAGGTACCACAGTATCATAACAGGTTCCTGTATCATAACAGGTACCACAGTATCATAACAGGTACTGCAGTATCATAACAGGTACCGCAGCGCAGTATCATAACAGGTACCACAGTATCATAACAGGTTCCTGTATCATAACACGTACCACAGTATCATAACAGTTTCCTGTATCATAACAGGTAGCACAGTAAACAGGTAGCACAGTATCATAACAGATACCGCAGTATCATAACAGGTACCGCAGTATCATAACAGGTACCGAAGTATCATAACAGGTACCGCAGTATCATTACAGGTACCGCAGTATCATAACAGGTACCATAGTATCATAACAGAGGCGAGTGGCACCAGTACCACAGTATCATAACAGAGGCGAACGGCACCAGAACCACAGTATCATAACAGAGCCGAATGGCACCTGAGTACCACAGTATCCTAACAGAGCCGAATGGCACCAGTACCACAGTATCATGACAGAGCCGAATGACACCTGAGTATCACAGTATCATAACGGAGCCGAACGGAACCAGTACCACATTATTAAACAGAGGCGAACGGCACCAGTACCACAGAATCATAACAGAGCCGAATGGCACCAGTACCACAGTATCATAACAGAGCCGAATGACACCTGAGTATCACAGTATCATAACGGAGCCGAACGGCACCAGTACCACAGTATTAAACAGAGGCGAACGGCACCAGTACCACAGTATCATAACAGAGCCGAATGGCACCAGTACCACAGTATCATAACAGAGGCGAATGACACCAGTACCACAGTATCATAACAGAGCCGAATGGCACCAGTACCACAGTATCATAACAGAGCCGAACGGCACCAGTACCACAGTATCATAACAGAGCCGAATGACACCTGAGTACCACAGTATCGTAACGGAGCCGAACGGCACCAGTACCACAGTATCATAACAGAGCCGAATGGCACCTGAGTACCACAGTATCATAACAGAGCCGAATGGCACCAGTACCACAGTATCATAACAGAGGCGAACGGCACCAGTACCACAGTATCATAACAGAGTTGAATGGCACCTGAGTACCACAGTAACATAACAGAGCCGAATGACACCAGTACCACAGTATCATAACAGAGCCGAACGGCACCAGTACCACAGTATCATAACAGAGCTGAACGGCACCAGCACATCCACTGCAGCCAGTGGACAGTCTCCACCATACTAGTGACCAACCCTTACTTTGCAAGAAATTGTTTTCTTTTCTTAAAAACTGAAGGTTTTTAGTTCTCTCTTAATGAGAGATTATGTTGTATTTCAGATTGAATACTCATATTCTGTTCTTGATCCAGATTGAGTTCTCATTTATCTAATTCCTTCTGATTGAAAATTTTAACATATAAATACTCCATTTAGATTACCAATACCGTACTCTTAACTTGTGTGTAGTGGAACTAAACTGGTGCAACCGTTGGTGACCAGGTACATTTGTAGCTGAATTGGTAGAGAGTTAATCTAGAGTTGCTCATGTGAGCAATTACAACTCCTGCTCATGACTGCATAAGCTTATATATATATTAGCCCAAGTGTAGAAATTCTAACAAAAGCTCACATGCTACTTGTAAGCACAATCTCATTTGCAAACAGTATTATTAAACCCATTTGCTGCTCATGAACATGTGTAAGCAGTGTAACACAATGTACTTAGTGAAAGAGTTCACTGTGTATTACAATGTACTTAGTGAGAGAGTTCACTGTGTATCGCAATGTACTTATGGTGAGAGAGTTCACTATGTGTAAGCAGTGTAACACAATGTACTTAGTGAGATAGTTCACTGTGTATCACAATGTACTTATGGTGAGAGAGTTCACTATGTGTAAGCAGTGTATCACAATATACTTAGTGAGAGAGTTCACTGTGTGTAAGCAGTGTATCACAATGTTCTTAGTGAGATAGTTCACTATGTGTAAGCAGTATATCACAATGTACTTAGTGAGAGAGTTCATTGTGTATCACAATGTACTTCGTGAGAGAGTTCACTGTGTATCACAATGTACTTATGGTGAGAGAGTTCACTGTGTGTAAGCAGTGTATCACAATGTACTTAGTGAGAGAGTTCACTGTGTATCACAATGTACTTCGAGAGGGAGATCACTGTGTATCACAATGTACTTATGGTGAGAGAGTTCACTATGTGTAAGCAGTGTAACACAATGTACTTAGTGAAATAGTTCACTATGTGTAAGCAGTGTAACACAATGTACTTAGTGAGAGAGTTCACTGTGTATCACAATGTACTTAGTGAGAGAGTTCACTATGTGTAAGCAGTGTAACATAATGTACTTAGTGAGAGAGTTCACTGTGTATCACAATGTACTTAGTGAGAGAGTTCACTATGTCTAACACAATGTACTTAGTGAGAGAGTTAACTGTGTGTAAGCAGTGTATCACAATGTACTTAGTGAGAGGGTTCACTGTGTATCACAATGTACTTAGAGAGAGAGTTCACTATGTGTAAGCAGTGAAACATAATGTACTTAGTGAGAGAGTTCACTATGTATCACAATGTACTTCGTGAGAGAGTTCACTGTGTATCACAATGTACTTATGGTGAGAGAGTTCACTGTGTGTAAGCAGGGTATCACAATGTACTTAGTGAGAGAGTTCACTGTGTATCACAATGTACTTCGTGAGAGAGTTCACTGTGTATCACAATGTACTTATGGTGAGAGAGTTCACTATGTGTAAGCAGTGTAACACAATGTACTTAGTGAGAGAGTTAACTAAACAAAAATGAGGTGAATCGTTTTGTAATCTCAGAAATCAATAAATATGAAAAGCTGCCGTTAATGTTTACTCACTCACATATTACTTGAACAGCTACAGGTGGGAATATACAGTACATGTACATAGTCATTGTCTAAATTCAACCAATCACTACCTGCATCAAATGAAGCATAATTTTGTGTTCTTCTTTTACCTCATAAAATGATATATGTTTCAATTTCCTCCTCAAATACAAATCAATTGCTTCAAAAATTTCATCAAATGTATACACACTGGCTTAAAGCTTCTCCACAATTCTGACCAATGATCAGCCATGTTTACCTATATTATGTCACTTAATGAGTTCATGGAGATATAACTGGGTATTTTTTCATACATCACAAAAGTGTCAAGATTTAATTTCGCTAGTTCTTAAAAAAGCTTAAATTAGTGTAGAAGTCCAGAAAGAGTTTTTGTGTTAAAGGTTGTACATCTTTGTTCA